GTAGAGCGCTCGCCTTGAGCTGAAGAGCTGAGGGACAGCGCCCAGGCCCAGAGTTCAAGCCCCACGACCGACAAAAAAAAAACATAATGGCTCAACTTAAATGTGAATTCACACTATATCGCTAATATGGAACATGAAGCCTTAAATAAGACTAATTGTAGATTCGTTTGACTTGCATAAGTCAAGGATGCCAGGAGGCTGGGCTGTGGGACTGAGTGTTGTGGGTTGTTTTGAAGGTCCTCAGGCTCACAAGTGTAGAGAACCTGGCTGACAACACAGCTGTCCAAGTCACGCAGAGGGAAGGGGCTGCAGGAAGGCCCTCGGGAGGAAGCCACCGCCCTGCCTGGCACATCCCCTACCCTGCAGCATGCTGGAGTCTCTGACCCAAAGGCTGCATTAAACAAATGAAAAAAAAAAAATACCCCAGGCATCAGTGGCTCACACCTAACTATCCAGGAGGCTGAGATCTGAGGATTAAGGTTCAAAGCCATCCTCAACAGACAAATCTAAGAGAGTCTTATCTCCAATTAAACAGCAAAAAGTTGGAAGTGGAGTTGTGCCCCAAGTAGTAGAGCACCAGCCTTCAGCAATAAGTGTGAGCTCAAGTTCTAGTTCCAGCACCGCCTTGCCAAAAAAAAATCAAGTTTTGAAAAGTCATTAAAGATTTTAGAGAAGCCAGATTCAGGTATTTCATGCCTAAAACCCTAGCTATTCTGGAGCTACCCCGGGCAGAAAAGTCCGTAAGACTCCATCTCCAAAATAACCAGCAAGATACCAAGCTAGAAGGATGGCTCAAATTAGGTAGAGTACCAGCTGAGCAAGCATGAGGCCCTGAAAACAAAAATTGGAGGCAAAAACAAAGGTGTTTAGCCGGGCACTGGTGGCTCACACGTGTAATCCTAGCTACTCAGGAAGCTGAGATCTGAGGATCTCAGTTCAAAGCCAGTCTGGGCAAGAAAGTCCATGCAACTCTTCCTCTAAACAGCAAAAAGCCGAAGCTATAGCTCAAGTGGTAGAGTGCTAGCTTTGAGCATAAAAACTAAGGGACAGTGCGTAGGTCCTGAGCCCTGGGACTGGCACAAAAGAAAAAAAGAAGAAGAAAAGAGGAAAGAGAGGTAGGAAGGGAGGGAGGGGAAAAAAAGAGAAAGAAAAAGTTTTAGATTCTTTTTTTTTTTTTTAATCTGTCATGGGGCCTGGGCGCTGTCCCTCAACTTTTTAGCTCAAGGCTAATGTTCTACCACTTGAGCCATAGTGCCATTTCCAGCTTTTTCTGCTTATGTGGTGCTGAGGAATCGAACCCAGTGCATGCAAGGCAAGCACTCCAACACTGAGCCACCTTCCCAGACCCAGAAATTTTTTGAATATAAAGAAGTATAGCAGCCAGGTGCCAATGGCTTACGCCTGATCCTAGCTACTCAGGAGGCTGAGATCTGAGGATTGAGGGTCAAAGCCAGCCAGGGCAGGAATGTCCATGAGATTCTTTTTTTTGGGGGGGGAGGGGTGCGGTTGTGAGGCCTGTACTCTGGGCCTGGGCGCTGTCCCTCAGCTCTTCAGCTCAAGGCTAGCACTCTACCACTTGAGCCACAGCGCCACTTCCGGCTTTTTTTTTTTTCATTTTGCTTATGTGGTGCTGAGGAATCGAACCCAGGGCCTCAGGCATGCAAGGCAAGTGCTCTACCACTGAGCCACCTTCCCAGCCCCTCCATGAGATTCTTACCTCTAGTTAACCACCAAAAAACCAGAAGTGGCGCTGTGACTCAAGTGGTAGATTGCTCACCTTGAACTCTGAGCCCAGGCCCAGAGCTCAAGCCCCACAACCAACAACAACAACAAGGATAGCAAGCCCTCCGTCCACTCAGGAGCAGGTGTCCGGCAGGGTCCTGAGCACCGCCCCCCTTCTGCACAGGCATACCTATCCTGAGGTGCTGCCTCCTCAGAGAATTGATCAGGGAGGACTTGCCCACGTTGGGGACCCCAACCACCATGATGCAGTACTCCAGGTTCTGTGGAAGCAGGAGAAGAGCCGTGACTCCACCCTACCAGGCCCGAGCCCACAGGGGTTCCCAAAGGAGGAAGAGGGCACAGAGGCCTGCCCTCTAACAAGCCCTAGCCCTCCCAGGCCAGCCTCCTGGAAGAGCACCACAGCATCCTCCACACTGAAGTACCCCAGGATCAGTCAGGAGAGGCCTGGGTGACCCCCACATGCCCACCCCCAGGTCTGCATCCCACCAACCAACCTCTGCTCGATGATAGCGGTAACTGCTCCCAATGAGCTCTGTGACCTTCGGAATGATCTGCAATAAACCAGCCACATCTTCTAGTCTCATGCCCTTTCACCAACCCACGTCCTGTCACCTCTGCTCCCCTCTACAGTCATCTGCTGAGAGAACAAACACCTCCCAGGCTTCGGTCAAAGACACCCAACCAGGCTGTGCTGGTGAGACCGACACACCCACCCCCAAGCTAGAGTAAGGCTTCTACCACGGGAGGGCGTCCATGAGAGAGGTGATCACGTTCACCAGAAACTTGTGGTGTCCCACCAAATGCAAACAGGAGAACTAAGTGACCTGTCACCCCAGAATGACCTTGTACTCCCTGAATATCCATCTTGGGCTGTATCAGCGTAAGACACAGGGCGGGCCCCCTGGAGACTCTGCACTCCTGGGCAGTAGGAGCCAGAACCAGGATTACAACTGCTTACCAAACAAGGAACAGAAACACCTGCATGTGAGCAGAAAGGCCTACCTGTTTGACATTTTCATCCTTTACACAGTTGGTAAAAATGACGTTTTTTAGGCCTGTTCCTTCTAAGTGCTGCAAAATTTTCTGAAAGAGACATTTCCATTTTAAACACTCAACAAAAATATGGACGGTGTTATAAATAAAAGTTGAGGATCCAAAATGAGAACCAAGGGCCTCAGCCTGGCCCATCACTGGTCACAGAGGTCACAGCAGTGTAACTGGGCTGGGCTGTCCTGTCTGTGCCAGGGTGAAGACCAGGAAACACAGACTGACCTTTGGGAGTTCAGCGCCTCTGTGAGTAAAATGAGGCTTAAACAAGTCATCCTGAAACTCCTTCTGGCAGTGGACTTACAGAACCTGGACTCCACTGAGAAATTCCACTGTTCCAACGTGTTCCGACCTTCTTCAAACACTGTCAATTGAAGGGACATCAAACCTGATCTGAACCTATCTAAAAGCTCAAAAGAATACTAAAGTTGACACAAATTCATTAGTCTTAACATTCACTGAAATCACTGTGGAACTGCATCCTATTTGTGAATATTTACCTTTATAAACCAAACCTATTTAAAATTAGTGTTGTAATGTTTGATTGCTACTGGCCCCAAAATATAGTCAATGCTTACAAAAGAAAAAAATCACTGATTAAATCCATTAATTTTAGTTATTTCTTCCAGGACTGAAAGTGTGGCTCAACTGGTTGAACAACAGCCTCAAGCAAGAAATCTGAGACTGTGAGATGCTGAGTTCAAGCCCCAATATCCCCAGTATCAATACACTCTCTCCATATATATATATATACATATATATATGCGCACACACACATATACATGTGGTAATTATTTCTTCCAGACATCCACTGAAGATGGGATAAGGACATAAGCCATGACAAAGACATACTGAAGCCACAGTTCCCATGTAGATTCACTCAAGATGTCCTCAGGGAAGTGGGCTCTTCTTGGAGCACCTGGCCAGACTACAAGGTGAGGACTCAATACAAAGTCTGCAAAGGCTAGTATTTAAATGGCAAAAGCAACCACAAATGAGTTCCACTCACTAATAAAAGCAACAGAAACCAGTCGTGAAGATAAATAACCAGAGCTGCAACCTGAGGAAATCCCTAGAGATCTGTACAGACCCCCCTGGCCTTTGTGAGCATGTCTATCAGCTGCCAGCAGGAGGAGCTGTCAGGGGAACTCCTCAGCTATCCTCCTGATGGTATCCCTACAAACCTGTGGGGTGGAGGTGACTAGAACGTACGGACACATAATAAACTGCAGCTGCAACAAATGGAAATGTTCTGTACCATTAACACCTTTTCAAAACACTGGCTTGAATTCAAGATGTTTACATTTTTCTCTCTACAGTTTGGTAATAGAGCCACAAAGAAAAAAAGCAGAAGACACTTCAGATCCTATTTCCAGTTCTCATGGCTTTTTTAACCTCTGTGCCACATGGAAAATATCTTGCATAGGCCTAGTTCTATCTGGCCTTAGAGAAATCAGTAGCCATTTTGGCCTCTCCCACTTCTAACTTCTGAATCAAAGCATGTGCAGAAAGCAGACAATGACTACTATGTGGAGCTTAGCAGACAGCATCAGTAACCTCAGGAATGCCTACCAGACAGTACAGCTAATATAGAGGCCTACCAGACACCAGAGCCATCAACCTGCCAGACAGTATAGCTATATGGCAGCCTATCAGATAGTACAGCTATCGGCCTACCAGACAGCAGAGCTATGTATCAGCCTACCAGACAGCACAGCTATATATCAGCCTACCAGGCAGTACAGCTATGTATCAGCCTACCAGACAGTATAGCTATGTATCAGCCTACCAGACAGCACAGCTATGTATCAGCCTACCAGACAGCACAGCTATGTATCAGCCTACCAGACAGTAGAGCTATTACAGACTACCGACAGCTCTCTGTCCCTTGGATCAAGTGGCACACTGACCATTTCCCAAAGGGTATGCACCCATGTTGAACACTGAGGTCCTTAATGTCTGAGGTAAGCAGCCAAGCTGAGGAACCAGGCTAGAGCTGTTCCGGAAGCAGAGCTTCGTCTGTGTTGGTGACTCTTCACACTTTTGTGGGCATCTGTGGGATGGTACTCACGTGCTGCTCTGTGAGATCTGCCAAGTCCATCTTGTTGAGGACAAGCAAGTGAGGCTTCAACCCAAGGGTCTCCTGAAACAGAGGGTTGCGACCTGATAGTGGAATGTGGCGATGTTAAGGCAAAATCCCTTGAAAGGTTTACATTTTGTCTTCTCTGACTAGGTCAAAGGAAGCCAGAGGAGGGGATCTCATCTCAAAGCAGGCCGCCCAGCCGACCTCCCACCTCAAGCATATGGAGCCAGCTCCGATCCTGCCTTCTGGTCTGCAAAGGGTACACCTTCTACCACTGCCAGAGTAGGCAGTCAGGCAAGGCAGTGACTGTCACACAGCTTTCCAAACATGATGGCAGCAAAACCAAAGTCAACGCTCAGCCAGGCACGGTGGTGTATATCTTTAATCACAGCACTTGAGTGGCTGAAGCTGAAAAGACTCCAGAGAGTTCCAAGCAATCTGAGATACCAGGCTTAGTTGCCAAGATACTTAAGTTTCAAATGAGTGACATGATCACTCAAGAAAAAGTGACTCTGTAAAGTCCTAACTAGCGCATCTTCAGAACACTACCCTACCCTGTGGCTACTAAGGACTCCCAAGTCCTACCACGGGGCACCCAGCAGCTGTGCCTAAAAGTGAGCAGGTCCCTTCCCTCATGGAGACTCACTGGAGACACCACTTGCTACTGACATCTTCAACCAGGACTGCTAGGACAAAGGTAGGGTCTTAGTCCTAGTCCACTACACCTGACGGTAATACAGGCAGGAGGGGGCTTCTTATCTTCACATCCTGAACCTCTGCTTTCCCGGTGCTGCATCTCTCCCTGAGGATCAAGCTGCAGGGGTCCCAAGGCCCCTGCCTGCCCCATCTAAGCAGTCAGTCAACTGTCTCCCCACTCCAAACTTTCCTTCCTATATATGACTACAGCCCCCAGACTCCCCTCCCAGGATGCTACAGAGACCATCATCCAGGGAAGGCTGCCTGCCACAACCTAGATAAGGCAAAATATCCTAGGGTTGAAGCATCACACATACTAAAAGATAACCACATTTTATTATGTTTTGATAGACACACAATTGTCACCACTATATGCTACATAAACTGATGCATATTTACAGCCTAAAACAAAAAAACCCAAGGGGTTGTTTGTTTTTGTTTTTTGCCAGTCATGGGGCCTAAACTCTGGGCCTGGGCTCTGTCCCTCAGCTCTTCAGCTCAAGGCTAGCGATCTACTACTTGAGCCACTGCACTACCTCTGGCTTTTTCTGCTTATGTGGTGCTGAGGAATCAAACCCAAGGCCTCATGTATGCAAGGCAAGCGCTCTACCACTGAGTTACCTTCCCAGCCCAGAAACCCAATGTTTTGTTGCTAAAGTTCCAACAAGACCATGAACTCTGAATAACACCCTCACTCTGCACTGTCTGGGTGGCAGTGCCTCAGAACCGTTTTCCCCAGGGCTCACACCTGCTGGCTCAGCCTCCCCAGTCTAGGCTGCCCTGGCAGATTTGTAACAACTAGAAAAATCAGTATCTTCATCACTAAAGAACTTCAGCATAGCTCAAATGGACAAAGTCTACGAAGCCTGTGTCAAAACAAGATCAAGTCTTGCCAATTCTCCCAAGCACAGGAGGAAAGTTGTGATTGGTAGGAACCTTTAATCTCAGGTTTCATGCCCTATCTAGAGAATTTCACTGCTGGATCGTTCTGGAAAGCCCAGGTGAGCCAGGCAGAGGCCAGGACAAATGACACATCAATGCACCCACATGTGAGATTCTGGTGTAAAACAAAGCTTATCAACGGGCATATTTACAAGCTCCCCAATAATCCCAATATATTATAAAGGCCGAGAGCCACTGCTCTAAATGCCAGTAACAAGTAAGGTCTCGAGTCACTGCAAGCAGTGCCTACACTGGGCCGACGGCAGGCAGACACCGGAAGCGCTCCCTGCTGCCTCTGCATCTTGGCCTGGGAAGTGGTCCCTCCCGCACCAGGAAAGGATATCCGAGCATCGTGAACCTCGATGACACAGTCCACCACCTTCAGACTGCTCTGCATCTTCTTCAGTCCTGGAACACATGAAAGTATTCAAGGGCAGGCCAGGGCCTTCCAAAGGGGCAGGTTTGTCTGCTACTCAGAAGCAATCTCAACTCCTCTGGAGATGGGGAGTTTGAAGCCTGCACAGGCAGGGAGACCTATCTTGAAAACAAAACCCAAAGTGTGGAAGGAGCCGCCGGCGCCCGCCCGTCATCGCAGCTACTGGGAGGCGGAGGTCGAGGACGCGGCTCCCAGCCGGGCAGGAACGTCCGTGGGAGCCAATTAGCTACCAACAAGCGCGGGGGGAGAGGGGGCTGTGCAGAGCTGGGGGCGGCCCAGGCCGAGTCCAGGCCCGCACCGGAAAAAAACCTAAATGGCAGAGAACGGCTGGCTGCCAGCTCCTGGCCGGAGGTCTCGGCCTGGCCTGAGCACCGCTGGCTCCGCGCGGGCTGGGGACCCCCTGGCCGCCCCGCAGCTGCCTTCGGGGGTCAACGCCGCCGCGTGCACCGAGACACGCGGGGAGGCCGGAGTG